TAAGTATATTTTATTTATTTATTCATGTGGATTTTAATTTCAAATGCTCCAAGTCCATCACAGTACAGTCATATTATAGGCAATTCAGTAAAGCCTACTTATAACAGACTCCCTATATATTGAGTATTATTAAAAATATTGACAATTATACAGGGGCACCATAACATTTTTCACGCCGGGGCTCTACAAAACCTAGTTGCCCATATTGTATACTAAATTATAGATTCTGATTCAGCAGTTTATTTTACAAATAAGTACCCATATTAGTTAAAATAAAATTTGTTAATACATACCTCTGTCTATTTTTGATTAATTGTAATGCACAAATTATAATGATTTTGCGTCGATATATATAGACTCATATTATATTCATAACTATTGTAGTGTAACAATTATAATATGTTACATGATACCTAAATATATATATATGTACTACACGTCTACACACTTAACATTATGTACGATGAACTGCTGACCAATACAATAATATTAACACACACTCATAACTGTAAGACCTATGGTCAATACACACCATGTATGAAGTAAGKTAGTTCACTGTGTACCTTAGACCTCAACACTCAACAAACATCGAACTCCGTAYAACTACGATACAGTCAGATAGTTGGATAGAATATAATTTATATAGCTTGTGAGTATTATTATTTGTAAGTGTTTAATCTATAATAAAACTTAATGATAACTAAACGGAATCCTAGTTATTTAAATATATTTAAGATCCTGTTATATATATATATATCTACCCCTGGCTACGGTAATTATATCTATAGAGCCCTACGACTCTCACTGGATATCTTATATTTAACTGGTCGTTCCCCCGACCACGTTACAGTAGTATTGTCCATTTTTAAATTTAAATAATGTAATTAACTTGATTAACATTTAACTGGATTAACTCGTTAACTAGTTAATCCTTAATAGTATACATTGCATATTTGTATAAATTTAAAATTATATCATAAATCATAATAAATAATAAATACTATATTAATATCAATTATCTACTATCATGAGTGGCGGGAATATGTTTACCTATGTCCTATACCATTATTACCAGGTTGTACCGACAAACATCACAACTCCACGAAACACGAAGTAGGTGCGCAGCCACCTTAAATCGTACGTCACATAGGTACCGTTAACCGTGGTACATAAACCTAAAACCTAATAATCGGCATACCACCCAGAAATACCCGTGTACCGGTGTACCTATAATAAGTTACATTAAATATTAACGCACACAATTTGCCCAAACACCGCAGACAACTTTACTATAATAATAGTACTGCGTGTAAGATAGAAATCGTCTCGAATATATAATAATATCATATTTCGTACACAGTTAAGATGTGCAATGTCTATGAATTTTGTCGTTGTATCTTGTATATTATACTCATCATGTTAATGTTTTACAAAATTATCAAAAGCAGAATGTTCTTCAAAAGAAAACACTTATAGCACAGAGGTATCTACTCAAATTTCAATCACCTAATTTATTTTACTTTATTTTAAAAACATTGTTATAGTTTTTAACTATGCGTATAGTGGGGCTACACAAACGAATACAAATAAATTCGTTACTTTGTGATCATATTATAATATTTATTATTATAGCAATTCGTTTTGCGACAGCTGTATAAGACAAATAATCATGATAAAGGGTGGCACTTTCAAAAGTTTGAGCTCGGATTGTCGGGTTGTAAATTTGCTATGTTGTAGACATCATAAACAATTGGTTATTTAGCCATTCAGGTCACCTAAATTGTGAGATGGGAGAAGAAAGATAATGGAAATATTTGAACCTATGCGACGATGTATTCGATATTCATTCGCCGTTCATATTATATTCGACCAAATTTTATACAATTATTATACATATATACAAGCATGCAGTGGCGCCAAATCCTAAAAATCTAGTAGGGCGAAAAAATAAGCAAAAAATATTTCAAGAGGCCCAATATCTTAATATCAGCAAAAATGGCATACCGTGGAGAGGAAAAAGGTCGATAGATATAATACAGGGTGATTTTTTCCTTTTACAGTACATTTTTTCAAATTCTGATTTTTAGAATTTTTAAGTAGATTTAAAGTCCATATTTTAAAATTTCTGATATTTTTCTATTTGAAAAACTAAAAATTATATTATAACAGGATTATCATTCTTAAGCGGTACAAAAAGTTTCATTGACTCGAAAAATGGTCGTCAAGAGTATTTAAAAATTCCAAAAATCTGAATTTTAGTGCATGAGTTAAATAAAACTCTAAAAACATGATGAACATGCTTAAAATATTACTCTGTGTCTGTATATAATAAATATATATATATACTCCACACTGTAGTAACACTACCTTTAAGGTACGGGCGTCGTGGTAATACGACGGATACACTCCAATAAGAATATTTGACATTTCGATGTGCAGTTTGTATTGGGGTTGTAAATTCCGTCGAAATTAATAGTTAGGTATATACCTAATATATACGAGGTGATTTATGAAGCGTAAAACACTCATTAATTTAAAAAGTGTAAATGTTTTTGAAAATATAATTTTACATAGCTTCAAGTCGTTTACAAAACCATGTTTTTATTAAAAAATTATATTTTTAACATTTTTTATCCCTATAATTTTTTAAGGTTTTTACTTTTTTGAATGACAACATGTAGTTTTAATTTGATATTCCAAAASAGAATATTTTTCTAAGTATTTCGATACATAAAAATTGAATTTAGGGCAAGTAGTTTACGAGATATAGGTATTTAAAGTTTAGATGAGCGGAGTAGAGTGGTACGACTTGAAGCTATGTAAAATTATATTTTCAAAAACATTTACACTTTTGGAAATAATGAGTGTTGTACGCTCCATGAATCACCCTGTATAATATATCATGGTATTCTGCAGCCTATAACAGTATAGTATGTATTATTATATCGCACGGAAGGACTATTGTTGAATATAAGTATATTGACTTGAACGGACCTCTAACGATGGGATGTATGGTGGCCGCGTGTTTTTACCTTTACTTCAGGGTAGTTTTTAAATGAAACACACTGTCCCTCCCAATCTGTTAACGAGAAAATGTTCTATACCTATAACGTGAGCACACTACGCTCGTTTCTATAATACAATACGATTATGGGATTCAATGATATACATATATTTTTTTACAATAATAACTGTATCGTTCCATTGTATACAATGCGTATCGAATGTGACATTTTGTATGGAAAGAAATTACTGTTGCTGCTGCAGGACTATATATTTGTTAACTGAATAACGAACTAAAACGAGTGAGAAAAAAACAATTATATAGTATTTGGGGAAAAAAAGACGGGAGAGATTGTTATTTGTCCTTGACACGAACTGCATTTAAATCAATATATTAAGATGGATATAGGTATAATACAATGCTTGGTAAATATATATATACTATAATATTATCAGCGTTGTATAATAATATTAGGTATATATAGTTTGTTGTCAAAATATTATTTGAATATCTGTCGAGATATTTATTGTCAAACAGCTCATAATAAATATACCTACTGCGGCGTACAATATTATGTATACCTACTGTATAGTGATAGTGTATACATTTTTCAGATGCGTCTCCAGATCGATTTTAATTTTACCACAGAAACTAATTGCTTAAACTTGGTTATAATTTTAAATTTATATCAGTACAACTTCGAATATGTCGTGTACCCACATCCACGTATCATGGTGTATATGATTTTAATACAGGGCACAAGCATAGGTATTATAAGTAGGGATTTTCTGAGGTGAAGGGTCGGGACTATTAAAGGAAAGTAGGTACCACTGGTACCAGTATCTAAGCCCTAAGGGCTCCTACGAATTTCAGGTGGGTGGACAAATATTTGAAAAAAAATTTTAATGTTAGTCAGTTTGTAATGCACATGATTAGGATTACTTGGTGTTACTCATTAGTCATTAATCATTATAGTCATTAATCATTGTATAGAGCTTATCATTTCTAAAATCCTTTTTTGTTCTAAGTAATTATTGTAATAATACAATTTTATTGCGTCTCTAAATTGTAATATTATATTATATAAATAAGCTACTTTTTGGTTATCTTAAATGATAACAATTGTCATATTTCATAATTGTCACAGATCCGGAGTGCGAAAAATAATGATAAAATACCTATATTTAAAGTATTCAAATTKTTTCGTACAAATTTATTACTACCTGTCCTGTTGACGTGATATACTCATAGATATTATAATATCTACGGGAGCACTAAAGTTGTTAGTTTATTACCCATCAACTATTATCGAATGTCGAAATGTTCAATATTTTCGTTATTTATTGTTTATTTTATTATTTTTATAGTATCGCATGGTGAATATAATCGTCACTGTTATTTTTATAGGAACCCGCGGAGACTTAAACTTACATTAACACCGGTATCATGAATTTGAATGACCTTAGTTTGTCAATTTGTCATATTATCCAATATTTTGCAAAATTAATTGAACATTTTTGTATCATAAATTCATATCATGTTATGATTGAAGGACAACCACATTAATTTACACTTAGCGACTTAGCCCCAAAAAACTTTGAGATGGCTATCATTCAGTGTCTCAGCGGTCCTTTTGGAATTGAAAAAAATTGTTAATACTTGGGGAAAAAATGGGGCACCACCACCCACCAAGTGGCGCCCCACAACAGGAACGGAATCATAACAATTATTTTAAAAATGTGTCGGTAAAACAGACAACAACAACATTTGATATTATTTGTGTGCTCCGCACCGAACTACCGAAGCAGCAACACGCCAACACAACACACACACAGTATTACAGCAACAGGGCCCCGTGGGCCGGTGGCGGGGCTGTCCACCACACGTTGTTGTAAACAAGTCGGGGCGAGTGTGCGTGCGGGCACGTATTTACATGTGATCTTCGGCGGCCGCAAGGCGCACGCGGACGGCCAACCGTACGTGTCGAGGTAAGCGGTAACCCGCACAGTTGCACACTGCACACATACGAGTCGTACGACGGCCACGGCCGTCTTGCAATGGCCGCCCGCCGCACATACGCACGCACATGATCCGTCGACGTAGGTACACGCACGCGCACTGCGACACGCGTTACCCAAAGTGCCAAACGTTACGTGTGGGCGCTAGCGCGCGCGTTCGAATACCCTACGCACAACGCACGTCGTCGTATTCGTATATTATATCAATATCGCACGTTCGTACCGTTGTTGTACCGTTCGTGCTCCGTAGTACCATATTATAAAATATAATAATACAACGCATTCGATCCGTCAGCCTCACGCGGTGTGTCGTTGCACGGACCCGGGACCAACCGCGGAAAATAGGAAAAGCGCACTGCCTGGTGGACGATGCCGCCAACGCGATCCGTTATCACGCAGCCCGTTATCAGCGTGTGTAACAACGTTTTAATTTAAAAAAAAAAAATTTCCTCCGACTTTGGCGGCGCGCGTCTCAAATTTACCACCGACGGCCCCGTTTCCCGCTGCGTGCGCGCGTGTGCCCCAGAGCACCACAGTAAGGACGTACCGTAACGCATTGCCGCCGCCGCCGCTGCGCGCCCGCCGAACGCCGCCGCGCGCACGACGTCGACGACGACCACCACACGATGCCGTCGCACATGAATTGTTGTTTCAACAAATGCACCAACTCGAGTCGGAGCACGCAAAACCTGTCGTTTCACAAGTTCCCGACCAACGAGAACCTGTAAGCATTTTTCGACGACGTCCKCCGTCCGTCTCTCGTTAATTCCGTGTGCTTAACGTTTATTTTTCACCCCACTTTTCTCAGATGTAAACAATGGGTCGAACTGTGTCAGAACGACAAAGTCATCCAAAAGTTCAAGAACCACGGTTCCAGCCAGGTGTCCAAAAGTTTCAGGATATGTTCCGAACACTTCAAGCGGGAAGACTACGTTTTGTGGACGTCGAAAAAAAAGTCAGTATAATATCATCTCCCTGCCTATGTTATAGTATATATATTATTATCATCATCATCATCATTATTGTCACAAGTCAATCACCGATATTGGTCCGACAGTTGTTCACTATTAATTGTGTTTTGTTTTTCCTGTTCTTGTTTCTGTCGTCGTCGTCTTCAGGGTATTGCATAAAGGATCCATTCCGACGGGACAGCAGCTGATAAGTCCAAAAACAACACACTCGAACATTACCAATTGGAGTGATATGAGTAAGTTGACTCATCGAGGTCAGTGTCTTTTGTTTGCCGATTGTTAATTGTTTTGTGTTTCTTTTCCTTTTCAGTCACCGAGGAAGATGAGGCAGTCGCCAATAATGCAACATGGAGTCCGCGCGGAACCCCAAATTTTGATCTATCTGGCTCAGGTTAGTTAGAGTGACTGAAATCAACATAAATGTCCTAATTAATTAATAGTTGTGTATTTTCTAGTACCTGAGCAGGGTAAGTAAACGAACGATTAAATCCAGGGTGGAGTCCTTACAAAACTAAGCAGTCCAGATAAATAGATCATACGTTAAATTGTACCATTTTACTGAAAAGAAGCGCAGACTTTGTCAGCTTATTAAACAGTTACATTTTTTAAAAATATTTTGGAAATACTATTTCATTTTTTTTTTTGCTCTGAATTTAAAAATTACTTTAAACTTAAAATCCTTGGGTGTTATTTTTTACATTTTAGTTGTTAATGGTTTATAATTTTCAAATAATTAAATCAAATCATGTTTTTTTCTTATAATTGTTTAATTATCAAACCAATAAGCAGTTTAAAACAAAAAAAAAATTTTTTTTACTAATAAATGGATATGGTAGTGATTTAAGTCGTAAACGATTTATCTTGAAGTCACTTATAAATTAAAAAAATAATCAGGAAATGTTTTGTAATTGCTTTGACCAAGTCCAGCACCACATACACATTACTACAATATAAAAGGCGCTTAGTTATTATTAAAGTTATTTGTAAATAATGTTAGATTTTAATTCAAAGACAGCAAAATGGCTATTTTTTAAGAGTTGTACGAGTCCATTTTGTAACAAGTTAAGATTAATAAATTGTGTGTATTCTTTTTACACTTTTATCCATTCTTTTATAAAAATGCCTATATCATATATATATTATATGTCATAATGTTTATGTTAAAAATATTTATATACAATGCAGTAAACACATTGTTTGTGTATGAATGCATGTATATAATGAACATAATTGTATAAGCATTTAGATTTATGGTTATGATTATAATACATAATAATTTTAATTAAACAAACTGTTTGATTGTTAATACTTTATTATGGCTTCAACCATGGTTGTTGTGTAAAATAATGCTTTTATTAAAATAGTTGAAAGCTGTTTACTTTTATATAAATATTAGTTTTTAACTTTTTTTTTTGTTTTCACTACCCTAATAAATACTAAAATTATTTGTACTTGAGTTATAAATAACGCTTACTCGTACAACTCTTATAATAAATATTATTATTATTATTTTTTTTTTCTAGCTTTATCGATCATTTGGTAATAATTTCAAAAGATATTGTTGATCATACAATTGCTCCATTAATTAATATTGTTTCACTGTAAGAGGATAATCAATTCTTTGTTGATTATAGAATCTATACTTAAATTAGAAGAAAATTTAGAAAAAAATTGTATTAAGTGATATAAATATTACTTACATTTTTATTATATTATAATAAATTGTAAAAAAAAGTGAGCATTCTTGTACTCGTGAATAATCATTATTAAATATTTTTTTAAGTTATTACTTAATTTAGTGTGTTATATTGTAAGATGTACACTTGGCTAAAAACCATAACTGCCTTTTTAACAGAATTTTATCAGTCTTCAGTTGTTCATTTTTGTCAGGAAAAGAAACATCGGCATTTGAAATGAATTAGTATCAAAACTCAATTTATATTATTATGTGTTATAGGAGATATTAAAAAGTATAACACTAATTTTTGTAAAACTTAAACGGTGTGCAGCGTATTATTGTTGTTTTTTTGTATAATTATTGTTTATTTTTTTTTTTATATATAATAATTATTGATACTTAGATTGGTAAAGGGTGTATTATATAATTTTATAAATTTTAAAAATAACGGGCCTTATTGTTTTCTGAATAAATTAATTTACACAAAAAAATTAAAAGAATTGAAACACCATAAAATTATTCCTAGTGTATTCGACATAACATATTGTTTTTAGTTTTAAAAAAATATTTGGTTATGAAAAACAAAAATCAATATAGTCTATTGAATAATATTACATAATTGATACAGTATGATTTATTTTATTACACAGACCATTCATAATTTGTCAATTTTTGTTTTCTCAAAATTGTTTTTACATGGTTTGAACAATTATAAAGCTACATTTACAATTAAAACAACATTATATATTTAAAAAAAAATGTGTTTTAAATTATAATTGCTACGTCCATTTATGGTATAGTAAACTGGGCTTACAATTATATAAAATCTTGCACTGACACAATATTTGATAATGAATGGTTAGTGTTATAAAAAAATTACCCTGTATGTTTAACTAATATCTGTTATTGAATAATAATTCATATTTTTTTAATTAAAAATGGGTACATTTATTTTAATTTTGCCTGTCATTAAAAATGTAATAAAAATACAATATTACTTAATCGCTTTTAATTTATTAATTAATTCTCAATTGCTCACTTAAAGTCATTCAATTTATATATAATTAATGCTAGTGAGTATTTTGTATACATTAAAGAAAAAATGGGCATTGCAATGTTGAGATGTAATTAATTCTTTTATGACCTAAAATGCAAAACAAAACATCAGAGAACTCACTACTCTATTAAATGGTCAAAACATAGTACATACCTTTTCATCGGGTACTTTATTGTACATTAATTTTTGATATGTTAAATTATTTTTCTAATAATGAAAACCCTGATGCCTGCTTTTCGAATTTTTTAAATTTGAAAATAATATATAATATTTTGGTTGCCACCATATTTATAATACGTTTTCATTAATCTACTTAGATTGGCTGATGTCGAGTATCATATCTGAAAGAAGACTTCTTACTGGGTGCATTGTACTTCAGTTTTTTTTATTTAGTTTTAAATAATGGTATAAAATAATTTTAAGCTCAAAATTGTTAAATTTTTTTAAATTCTTTAAATTATCAATATTTTTAAAGGCATTATTAAGCTTGAGATTAAAATATTAAAAAATGATGTTTAATATTGCCTGTAGAATGCTGTCCTACTTTAGTTAAAAAAAAAAAAATCGTAACATTTGATTAACTCTATAGAACATAATCACTGTTCTCGTATAGAGCGTATTTTTAGGAACAAAATTACATTGGCATTGATTGCCTTATTAACATTTAAACTAATTTTTGTTAAAAATAAATGACGTATATTATTAATTAGTAATTATAATACCACTTACCAGCTATTAAAACTTAAAACTTTAAATCAATACCGATTGAAGTACTTATCATTAAACGGTGTGAATGTGTTTATGGTATTAATAACATACAACTAGCTTGAAAATTTCATTGTCTATTGTAAAATGGTGATATAATATTTATAAAGCACTTATCAAAAAGCTCAAGTCCTTTTGAATAATATTTATTAAATCACAGCAAATTATTTGAAAATGTAATTTTTTTGTTTAAATTTTAACTTTAAACGTGTAATGTAATTGTTTGTCTGTATTTTTGAGAATTTTTTCAAGAGCAGTTTATAAAGATATTTGATATATATTTGAATATTTGATGTTTATTTTTTAACTACCAAATGTTCATGGTTTTGACAAAATTGCGACCATTTAATATTATATATTTTTAAAATTCTATTATAGTAGCTTATGTGGACCTCGCATTAGGTAAATTTTTACTTTATGAAACCATAACGACAGACAGACAAAATAATAACACATCACTGTGAATCTAAAAGATAATAATAATATACCGGCTCTTTAGGTTTACTTAGTTTTTACCACCTTAGGGATGCACATAATATAATATATTCTCTTATCCTTGCCAGAATAATGCGGAAAGTTGTATACTTATTTTCTAAGTTTCATTATTAAATGGAAACACACATGTTTGGGTTTTGGGTAGTTAAGTATTGTAAAATAATGTATAATTTATTTGAGACGACATAAAAATAGATCATGATACAAACATAATAAAATATAACAAAAATAATAAAATTTTCAAATGTTTATACAAACTGTGTTTGTAGTAATATATATTAGTAAATAAAATATAGTGTGTATTACATAAAACAAAATACCTAATTGATTATTATTATTTTTTAAATAAAATAACATTGTTGATCAATTAAAAATATTCATAATATAGGTAATAATAATGAATAATGGTAATGTATTATGTATAATAACTAATTATCTTTGGAGGGAAACGTTAACATTGTCTACTTATGCTAAATAACTGTATTGTACAACAATTTATAAAAATCTTAATTAAAAAAAATACTGTTAAAAACCAAAAATTAGTTTAACAATAATAGTCTTAGTATAATATGTATAATAATATAATATTTATAAATTTTATAAATTTTAACAGCTTTCAACCGTATTAAAACAAATTACTTTGGAAAAAATAATTGTGTATAATATTATGTACAAAATAACAATTAAAATTAAATTCATAATTCTTTAATTTGTAATTTAAAGACTAGTATATATATATGTATATATTTTTAGCCTCAATGATGCCTTTCTTCAAAACATTATTTCAATACAATTATAATCACATTGTTTGAAAATAAAATTTACATTGCATTGTTATTAATTAGAATATTAGATGTACCTGATGTGGACATCGATATTCTATATATAAAAATAAAATAATAATTAGTAATAACAATAATAATTCGTACCTTATGACTTATTTAAAATAAAAAAATTTAATTGTTTTTATTACAATTACACAATTTCAACAGTTGTTGGAGAAACTCTATGATATAATAAAATTGAATAAACTAATCAGAAATGATCTAGTTATACTATTAAACACGGTTTTCACAGTATCATCAAATGCCCATATAGTCACGACTGGAGTTTTTGTTTAAGACGATATTAAACAATATAATTATTTTATTTTATAAATCACACATAATAATTAAATATGTCTACACGATTAGTCGCTTGTTTACTGTTAATTTATGTTTTATTTTAAAATATCATATTATATTATCGATTAGTTGACTAGACAAGTTATTACTTGTTCCGTCATGAATTTATCGCGTGGCTGGGTAAGGCCTCTTCTCCCTTTTCGATCGGATGCTTTTTCGATTGGTCGGCGTGTTGATTATTGCCGCTTGAATGCGTTTCCGGGATTTCTGGTAAAACTGTTGCAGGTAAGTAAATATATACAGGTATCAGTTATCAACCATCGGATTGGTATACGGTACGCACATGGTATGTCAATGAGGAAATTCTAAAGTGGTAAACGTTATTGATTGAACGAATCTGTAGATTTTATATAACATTGCAAACGCTATAAGAACTTCTTATTCTTATTAAGAAGACGGGTTTACTGGTTTACACGTAAAATGTTCAGCTGTGTCCAACAACACGGTAACTTGGTTAGTTGGTTAATTGTGTGGTAACCTTACATAACCAACCAATGAACCAATCACAGTAAAGGACATGAACGTGTAAAGTGATAACCCACCTTGATCCAGCGTTTTGTCTGTTTAGTTATAGTAACCAGAACTTTGGTCTACTTTGTTAACACTTTGATGGCCATCTACTACCACGATTTATCACGATTAACTTTTTTTGTCTTATACCGAGGTTAGGCGTGCTAATGAATTTCAACTTTCAAACGTTAGCGTCTGTATTGTACTATTGTAAAACGTTTTACGCTATATATAGAATTTCCTCTACGTGCTATATTGTGTCTTAATTTTTAAATCGTATTACGTTATAATAACTCACCCAGATTTGGACGTCCGCCGTAGGGCAAACTGATGACCGCGATGAAAGCCAAAAACGACGGAATCGTCCAGTTGTAGACCATTACGTCGCGATAGTAATTCGGACACGTATCGCAATGCCTGCAGGTAAATGGTAATCGGTACACTATATACACGTTATTAATAAAACAAACGAAAACGATGTTTTCGGGACTTACAAAGATTGGACAGCCATGACTACGGCCCCGTTGCATACTTTGTCGGTGAAGCTCATCAGGCCGAACGTGAAGGCGCCTCTATGCGTTCTGTCGCCGATGAAATCGGTGGTCAATGCTTGACTGGTGACCAATACCACCGAACAAGCAATACCTACAAAAATGACAACACGTCAAAAACTACAACTGGCAGGTATTTAAGTATTATAATTATTATTATTGCTGGTCGATATGAATTTTTCGGACAAGCATTACAGATTACAGTTGAGGCCCATCGGCCATCACGCACCAAAATCAACATAAAAATTCAATCCGAAAAACATTTCACAGTCCTAGAACTGTGGTAATAATTATAATATTAAACCACTCTAGATTCTAGAGTTGATCTAATAAAAAATAATTTCAAAAATAATAAATTTGAACAGTTGGAAAACACATCGGTGTTAATTTTAAATCTTGGGGTGTTTAAGACTACCTATCCCCTCCCCCTAATAGACGCACCTATGACATGCATTAGGTATAGGTACAGTCGTGAAAGTACCTAATATTAGTTATTACTTACTACTTACCTATTATGATAGTGACAGCGTATACTTGATATTTGGCAAATGTGTCACTTTCGCCTAAATAACACCACAACGCTGAACCCAATGACAACGTTACACCAAACGAATAAGTGTACTGCAAAATGTTTTATCATCGTTAGAAATATATTTTATAATGTATATTGTACGGTGATTTGTGTCCGGTCATTCAAATAAAACATGATGATGCTTACCTTTCTACCGAGTTTCATGTTCATTGGTTTGTTGAGGAGTGACATACAAAAACTGCTGACGAACATTATTAAGGGCAACAGTGCTAGTTTTTCGGCTTCCAGTTTTAAATAGTCTTGTAAGTACATCGGCAAGAACACCTATATTCATAAATCAATACACATATAATATATACGATAAAAATCATCATAAACAGTAAATTTAATAACTATATATATGTATAAGCATGTGAATTTGCAGGAAAATTCATTCATTTAAATTTATTGCAAAAACATAGATAGCTCTTTTAACACAGCGTTTTAATTGGATACGAACTCAATGCTGACCATTTTTTCATTATCACTTTTGCAACTTTTTAGATG